AGATATCTTCGTTTCTCTCTTCCGAGAGAGTCGTCTATCCTTCTTCCTCCTTTTTCATCATCTTTCTCTCTCTCTCTCTCTCTCTCTTCCTCTCTACTCTACAATATGTATTTAAAATAGCTGCATGCTGCAAAATAACTGAAATAGCCGTGAAGGGTCGATGATCCCCAGTGGCTCCTACTTCCTGGAAGAGTTTACGGATTTTCGACGTCGTCGTCTCGAAGACGAAGAGACGAAGAAGACGAAGGGGAAGACGACAACGACAACGACAACGACAACGACGACGACGACGACGACGACGACGACGACGAAGACGACAAAGATGACGAAGACGACGACGACGACGACGACGACGACGACGACAACGAAGATACGCGATGACTGAGGAACGACAACGACTTGTCGGCACCGTGCACAGTGTTCCTTTGACACCGTGTATCCGTTGCCTTGCCGTTCCACTTTGCTTCAAGGCGAAAAGAACTTGAGGGAGAGGGTGTGGAGGAGGTGGAGGTGAGAGGCTCATTCACGGAAGACGGAAGTATACGATGTTTTAACTAGTTCTTTTTTCTTTTTCCTTTTATTTTTTATATTTTTTCTTTTTTTCTTTTTTTCTTTTTTTTTTGTTTCCTCCCCCTCCCACTCCAATCCTCCCTATCTCGAGTAATACATCTTATGCGAATAATTGTTAACTTTAATTATTCTTACATCATTCTCATATATGATATAATAACTCCGATATAATTTATATAGTAATGAATGGAGTGGCCCAAAGTGAAAAACTATAAATTTCCATTGGTGAGTCATTTTCACCTCATTATCCCCCAACTTACAAAAGCTTTCCCTAGCAAAGTAAAACACATTGAAAAGTTCGGTACGATCGGTAAGAACGATTTCCTTTCCGTGAAAGCGAGTACCTGGACTGCACGTAACATTCGTGCTCGATGTACGAGTCACTTTTACGAGTTTCTACCGGGCGTTAGCTGCATCGTGCAAACGCGTTATCTTAATGAAACGCAATGAGATTGGTTTCGTCTTGAGGAATGAGAAAGAGAAGCGGTGAGATAGAGAGAGAGAGAGAGAGAAATAGAGAGAGAGAGAGAGAGAGAGATAGAGAGAGAGAGAGAGAGAGAGATAGAGAGAGAGAGAGAGAGATAGAGAGAGAGAGAGCCGCGCAATGGCGCACGCGCGCACGAGCGTTAACGATCCTTTGTTCGATGTACGTTTTGACGCGTGCGCGCGCGCGCGCACAGACAACTTTCTTACATTTTCTAAGATGAGAGACGTACGTAAAATCTGTCCATTGGTTTATGCGGATTCACTCGTAATAATGAATATTAACTTATCAATTATTCGATAATCAATGAAAAAGAAAAAAAAGAAGAAAAGAATAAATAAACAAAAAAAATGAAATAACGTTTTATCAATACGAATGAATAGAGAGAAGCAAGTGTTATTTCTCCGATCGAATCACGTACACGAGTATCGATAATTTTCGATAAGAGAATTAAACGATAAGAATGCGTTCGAACATTTAGTTGTGCGCGCTCGCGCGTTTCTATGACGAGCCAGCCTATGGAGATTTGCTGCAACGGGCGCGAGCGCGAGCGCGCGCGCGCGCACACACGCTCACGGCACACGCGCGGCAGCGAACGGCAGCGCGAGTAGCAGCGTTAGCCTTGACATTGGTCACGTTGTATTTACTTTGTGGAAGGTTGCCGGAGGATTAATATACGTGCAAGCCATTCGTAGCTCGTGCGCGACGCTTTATTACGAACGCGATATGATTGACGCCTCGACGAGTCTTGGAAGAATTTTTGATTTGCTATTGAAACAAAACGAAAAAGAAAAAGACAAAGGATAGAGGAAGGAAGGTAAAGGAAGAGGAAAAAATAATAGGAGGAAGAAGATTAGGAAAAAGGTACTTTAATGATAAATGTAAAAAAATAACATAAAAAAGAAAACAATAAATCTAATAGAATTCGTAGATATGCATTTTTTTTTTCTTTCTTTCTTTCTTTCTGATATTCGAAATGTTTCTGGGATTCGAAATTATCCACAAAGATTATCCTAAAATATCTATTATTTATGTACTTTGTTAATGAGAGAAATAATCAAGATGGTTGAGTCACGTGATGTAACCTTTAACAACATGGCGCTCAGACATGATATATCCGATTATTTTTTTCTTTTTTTTTTTCTACGTTTGATACTCAAAGAATATGTAAAGACATTCGATTCGTCCACGGGGTTTTTTTTTGATTTTCAACGGACTTATCCAAAGATCGTAACCGAATTGAAAGGGATCGTAGTGGGATAAAAAGGAGAGAATGAGAAGAAGAAAGAGAAAAAGAAAGAGAGAGAGAGAGAGAGAGAGAGAGAGAGAGAGAGAGAGAGAGAGAGAGAGAGAGAGAGAAAGAGTGAATCCTCTCACAAGCCATCCATTTCGTTTTAACCATCCTCTTCCTTCTTCACCCTTGTGAAAAAAAGACTCTCGTAAAATCGATTCGCTGCGCGGGTTCACCGAGACTTCAGACGACGTCTCCGTCGTCGCCTCCACTATCGTCGTCTTCGTCGTCTTCGTCGTAGTCGTCGTCTTCGTCGTCGTTGTCTTCTTCGTCGTCTTCGTTGTCGTCGTCTTTGCGTCGCCGTCGCGTCGTCGATGTCGACGTCGACGTCTTCCTCCCCTCTATCAGAGACTCTACATGCAGCACGGGTGTTCTGCGTGCCTCTGAACAAAGTCTCGCATTGTCCCTCGGCTATCTCTTTCTCGCTCTTACTCTTCTGGATGCTGGGAATGGTTAAGTGATAATAATAACAGTACGAATTTTTGGAATAGTTTATAAGACTCGTATGGGAGAAGAGAAAGAAAGATAGAGAGAATCGTGAACGTGGGGAGGAGTAGTGGAGCCTCGAGAAGAGTAAAGAAGGAAAGAAAGAAAGAAAGAAAGAAAGAAAGAAAGAAAGAAAGAAAGAAAGAAAGATAGGAGAGGAAGAGGCGAAAGGAGAAGAAGAAGAAGAAGAAGAAGAAGAAGAAGAAAAGAAGAAGTAGAAGAAGAAGAAGAAGAAGAAGAAGAAGAAGGAGAGACTCGGTTTCTCTTCAACGCAAACGGTCGATGAGAATGCTCTCTCGGTGGGGGTGGGTGAGGAGGAACGTAGGGCAGCTCGAGGAGAAGGGGCTGGGGGCTGCTGTGTAGCGGGCGAAGAGGAGAGAGGAACAGGAAAGAAGGCAGCGAGAGGGAGAGAGAGAGAGAGACAGAGAAAGAGAGAGAGAGAGAGAGAGAGAGAGAGAAAGAGAAAGAGAAAGAAAGAAAGAGATAAAGCAACACGGTTTGAGGTGAGGAGCGAAGAGAGAAGGACCGGTGAGAAGCGGAAAGGGGGTTGTCGGGGAGAGAGAGGCAAGGCAAGTGAAGCCAAGTGAAGTGAAGTGGGGCCGCGGGACGGACGCGGTGGCATTGACCCCGTATAGTAAGTAAGGTAATGTGAACAGCTAGCGCTTCTCATCTCTTCTCTCTCTCTCTCTCTCTCTCTCTCTCTCTCTCTCTCTCTCCCTCCTGCTTTCTCTCTTTTTCACTCACTTACTCACGTATCTCTTGCCCTCTCTCTTTTTCTCTCTCTCTTTTTCTTTTTCTGCTTCTCCATTCCTCCTCTCCTTCCTAAAGGGTTCCCATCGGATATTGTTCGGTCGGTGGGTATAGGAGGGTGACCTCAGGGTGGACAGCGACCTCGAGAGAGCACCTTCTATCGCTCGATTCTAAAGTCGTCGTCGTCGTCATCGTGATCGTAGTCCTCCCCGTGTCTCCTCTCTTCTTCTCCATCTCGTTAAGTCATTGGTCTTTGTTGACGGTAGGTGAAGATCACGTAGGTATGTATGGGTTTATTTCCGTTCTTTAGCTATCAAACATTTAACTATATTTTTATTCGATTACTGTGTGGGAAACATTTGGTTCATAAAAATCTTTACAAATTCATTTTTTTCTTTTTTTTCTTCTTTTGGTTTTTTTTTTTTTTTTTTTTTTTTTTTATAATCTTTGTTTAGAGAAGAAGAAGGGAGAGAGAGAGAGAGAGAGAGAGAGAGAGAGAGAGAGAGAGAGAGAGAGAGAGAGAGAGAGGGAGAGAGAGTAAAAGCCCTATTGTAAATGCCGTATAACCAGACGATATTAGTTTTGTGCGAGAGAAAATCGTGCCGATAGGGAAGGAATAGCTCGTGCGCGAGAGCGTAGAAAACGGTGGTCGCCTTGAACGTACGCATTGTTATAGCCTATCGCCGTTTATTACCGAACGCGTCGTTCTCCTTTCCACGGGTTTACGCAAGCGGTTGTCATCGAATAAGTCTATGGAGATCAAAACACTGTTTTACACATGTATGAATATATATATATATATATATATATATATATATATATATATGTATTAATGTACATAGCAGCACTGTACACCCTATATATAATAATAAATAATAACAAAAGAAACACACTCTCTTTCTTTTTGTCTTTCTCTTTCTCTCTCTCTCTCTTCCTCCCGTTCTCTTTGATTTAAATAAGAAGAGGAGGAAGAAACAAGAGGGTTCGAAAAAAAGAGGGATCACGTAGGAAGCGTGAGATTAAGTAAGAAAGTTTTGATCTCAACGGGTTGATACCTCACGTCCACGTAAGGAACAGAGATAGTCATAAGATTTTACCTTTATGACTCGTAATCCCACGACTCTCTTTTTTAAACAGAAAGAAAGAGAGAGGTCAGAACTCGTACGTGTTACCAACGAAGATACAACTCGACGCTTCTACAAGCATTTTGTTAGTTTCCAAGTTTAAATTTCCCGCCAGCAGTCAGACTCAGCCGATACTTGGCGAACGCGCTCGTATACGTATTGTATATAACACCGGTACTATGCGTTGCGTTACGACCTGCGGTTTCCCTTTAAAGCTAAAGCTTCCACGCATGCACTGATGTTACGCATACATATATATATATATATATATATATATATACATACATACGTACGTACGTGGCAATCCAATGCATTCCGATGCAGCGCACGATTTTGCATTTAGACCGTGGTTACTCGCATGCCCGCCATCTTGGAGTTCACCGAGTTCACTTTTCTTTAACTCGTCGATCTCGCTTTTAGATTTTAGCAAACAGATTTTGAAAAATACCTAAAGAATAATTTAATTTTTACAATGTAGAAAAAGGAAAAAGATTCGTGGTGGAAAGATTAATGATCGCGAATTGGAAATGGATGTTTTCGAATTTAATAAGATTGATTGAAGAATCCGCCACCAGGCGAGATCACGGCGCTTTCGTATCCAAGTGCAGTCACATAAGTGCAGTACTGATGCCACATAAGACGCATCGCTATGTGACGCAGAGCGCGTGGGTTGGATATCATAATGTACGGTCTATATCTGACATATCTCGATTCTGCGGGCCTAACTGCGTCATACTCAAAGTGCGCGCGCTTTTCGCGTACGTATATGTCGCCGTTTATGATGCGTTTGAAACGCGTCAACGCGTTGCCCGCGAACTTTCACTTTGTTCCTTTTATTTTTCTTTTATCGAATCATGCTATATAACATTTTCAAATCGTATTTACATAGATTTATGAATTAATTACAACTCGTTAATCGGTTTTCATCAAAGTTTCAAGGAAATTAGATATTGGGAAGTAATATGTTTTTCAACAAAATGACGACTTATTTTAACATTTCCTAGAGAAACATTAAATATAATAGACGATAAATCAGAACGATTTGAATTTAATTTCTTCGTGTAGCGCAATTTCTATAACCAATAATTAGTTTTCTCGGTGAAAGATGTTAAATTACTAAATCACCGTGTCGGTAAGAGGTTAAGTACGGCAAAGAAAGCTTCTATAAGCGTTTACTTACTTGCATTTGTGAGTCGAACGATTCGCGAATATACGCTTGACTCTTACCGATCTTTATTGGTGATAGAAAGTTGGCGAGATCGTTTTAGGAGCGAACGGAACAAACATATTCGAATGAGAAGGGATATGTATGTATATATACATATGTATATATATATATATATTTTTTTTTTTTCGAGGAATCGCTATTGCAATAAAAATAAATAGGCACGCAATAATAAGTATGTACTACATACGTACATAGATAGAATAGGTATGGTTCGGTTTAGTCATAGTAGTCGCATACCGGTAAGAAAATTGAGACATCTCGCAAGGTCGCCGAGAACTCATAGTTCGAGTTGTAAATCGAAAAAAGAATGGCTGCGATCGTTGGAGCGATCGGCGACCGCCCGCACCTGCGCGCGCGTACCAATACGACACGCGGATGTAGTCTCGCGCGCATTAGCGCGCACCGACTACTGCAACCTTCAAGATCGACGTGCCGTATTTGCTCTCGACGCGCTTCGGCTAATCTCGTGTTGCTCGAGGGCGCGCGCGCGCCACGACCTCCTTTAACGTTACGCGCCAAGCCGGACGCGCTTCTACAATACTTCTGCGATCTTTTTTGTTCTTCTTTTTTTTCCTCTTTCTTTGTCCTTTCTTCTTTTTTTTTTCTTCCCTTCGTTCTTCTTTTTTCCTTTCTTCTGTTTTTTCTTCCACCCCCTCACCACCAACCCTTTCCGATTCTCCCCGATCATTCGTCGTAGTCGTAATGACGATAGTTATCGGTACGTTTGTACTTGTAAAACTTAAACTTAATGCGCAATATAAATAGAAAGCTGATCGTTACGTAAGAAACTCTACATACGTATATAACGAGTTAGTGCTACGTGCTTGGTATCAATCTTCGAACAAGTGGAAATGTTTCTCTTTTTATCCCTCGGGAATACATTGCTAGTTGATCGCAATTATTGATATTACAATATCGGTTTGGATACGGAACGATTACGGTATCTAACTGTATTAGAAGAATGTTCAAATCTTCCTTCGAGAGTGATCCTACTCGATTAGGATGATCATTATGGTATTCCTACGTGGTAGATACATAAGTGATCGAACGAGGTGTCACGTGGCAGCTCGGCATCGACTATACTCGGGCTGTTTCCTTCATGAGGATATACTGACTACTCCACATGAGGTCATGGAATTTAATAACGGACGAGGTCGGAGAGCGAGCTTGAGCACGCGCGCGCATGGTCGTGCGAGAGCTCGGTGACCAGAGAGAGAGAGAGAGAGAGAGAGAGAGAGAGAGAGAGAGAAAGAGAGAGAGGGAGAGAGAAAGAGAGAAAGAAAGAAAGAGAAACAGAGAAGGACGACGACAACGAAGACGACGAAGACGACGAAGACTAAGAAGAAGAAGAAGAAGAAGAGGAGGTTGCGCTCATTCATAGGAATTTTACAGGTTGTCAGGCAGGTTTGACCGGCCTTTGTCATGGAGGTAACGCGGAGGAGAGGAGCCACGGAGTGAGAGATATCTGTCCGGCCACAGGAGGACGAATCACGGATGAATTTAGACACGGCATACCTGGAGACCACCGTAGCACACAACAAAACGTGACCCGAGAGAGTTTCACTACTCTTTGATTCTTTGAAGAGCAGGAAGCTGCTCTCCAATATATACCTATATATCTAAAGTAGATTTATTGGACATCTAATATTAATATTTACATATTAAAATATGCAAAATTATGAAAATGCCACTAGGAAGAAAGTGAACGCGGATATCCTAAATCCTTATTTACTTGGCGTTCAAAGCCATACTTTAGATCACTATATACGATGGGGAAAATAATTGTACTGTTTACCCTACGTGTGCTAATACACGTTGTAAGTACGGTATATACAATACCAGCGAAAGATATCCCATGCCGAGGCTCACGGAGGACTCGTGAACCGCCTCTTTTATCCGGGGCGCAATTGAGTCAACGGCCTTTCGAAAGAAGTAACGGTATACGATTATTACTCCTACCGAGTCCTATACTCACGAAACTCAACATTCGCGTGCACGCGCGCGCACAGGAGAGAGAGAGAGAGAGAGAGAGAGAGAGAGAGAGAGAGAGAGAGAGAGAGAGCCTTCCATAGCATGCTTTTATGGATGCAGCGAGAGAGAGAGAGAGAGAGTATAGAGTAAGTAGACAACATTTTACACAAACAACACGGTGACAGATCGGCACCTTTAACAGAGCCCGTTCGCCAAGTGAAACGAAACGTTCGCTTCGTTACGTGTCCTGTCTCTCTTATCGTGATCTAGGACCATATGATCTCTGGAGTCCTTCGAATTAAATGTATTATAACGAAATATATCGTAGATTTATTTTGTTAGACCTAGTCGCAAAAGGCTATCTATCGATGTCCCGATAAAACTCGTTTAAATCCGTTATTGTTAAGTTGTTAGCGAACACAGAAGCAGTTCGTAAAGTCAGAGAGAACAGGCTGTGGTATACCAGCGATGACCGCGGAAGGCCGCGAGTAGGGTTGGGAGTGGGGGGAAATGCTCTCCAACTGGGTGGAAAAAAGAGAAATCGATGTCAAGATGGGGAGATCGATGTCCTATAAAGAAAATATCTGCGTTTCGACAAATCGGCTCCTTCGGCAAGATATATCAAGTTCGTTTATTGATGCCTTCGATAATAGTAACGAGGCCGAATTAAGTCTTACAATATTTCTTTGGTCTATTATTCGATGATATATAAATCGAAAATCGTTCTTTTGTTCGGATCAATTATTTTTTAAAAGACCGATAGAATTATATATTCAAATCTTTCTTTCTTTCTTTCTTTCTTTCTTTCTTTCTTTATGCAGTACGTCTTAGACATTCCTATTTTATCGATCGGATAAGTCGAATGCCGAGAAAGTAAAAAGGCAAATTAGAAGAGTGCACTTTGATGTACTTAGCCATCTTAGTGCTCTTATTCGATCGAGGTACAACGTGAATGGACCGCACTCATAATCCCTATTAATAAAAACGCATTTATCCCTTCGCCCTCGGTCGTTCTCTCGGCACGGGGAGACGAAGAACGCATTCCAGCGTGCAGTCCGCCGACGATCTGCATTCGCAGAAAAGGACGAAGAAGTCGTGGAAGCGAGCAAAACGAATTAGCATCCCGATCGTTCCAAGCGGACCGCCCCCTCTCTTTTTCTCTTTCTCTTTTCGTCCTCCCTGCTTCTCCAGAGTACTCGTAAGATACTCTCGTATACGTTCTCGTACCTGTACGTGAGAAACAAGAAACTCTGAGAGATAGTCTCTCTCTCTCTCTCTCTCCCTCTCTCTCTCTCTCTCTCTTTACCTCCCCTCTCCCTTTTTTACTCTTTTACATACGTATGCATGTATCGCAGACGAGCAGGACTCGCAGCAAAGAGGTAAAAGAGAAGAGGAAAGTAGCGACGATGGCATAAATCACTTGAGTCTCGATGCCTGACGAACCTATCTCCATAGACGGTAATAATAACGCGAAGCCTCGCCAAGTTTGAAATAAACGTGTCTTGAGTAGTCTGGCTACTCAGATATTTTTTTTCTTTGACTTTTGTTCGGTAAGTAAATCTATATACATACTACAGGTAAAGCGTTGCAACTCAGATATTATTTACGGGTAAGGTGGCTCGTTAACCGGTGATCCGTTTCGTGATTTCTCGCTCATGGCTCTTTCATCGCGAGAGAAGTTGTGTAGGTGGGCGCTCTCTCGCGTTGATAGAAGGAGGGGGTGGAATCTTGGACATGGCGGCCGTACGGCTAATGCGTCGCTATACCCGTTCAGCGATGTTTGTTTGAGAAGCACTTTTGGCCGGATCATTGACTCCTTTTCAATCCACAGCAGACTTGTAGCAGCGCTGCGTCGGATTAGAAGTGGGACTTAAAGAATGATTTCACATTGAGCTTTGTACCTCGAGGATCTCGGGCGTGTGGCAAAGCGAAAGGCGGTAGGAGAGTTCGAGTTTAAATTACGGTTCAACCGATTTCTTCGAATAACTCGGAGAAAACGCCGAAGCAGGTACGACGCATCGAATTGGAACGTATCTTTCGTAAATGACGACATAACGTGTCTATCGGATAGTTATCCTCTTTATTTACTCCAACTTTGCCATCTCTTTCGACGCTTTATATTGCGACATGTCCGAGATATTTTCAATTCTCCAACCATTTGGCGGACGATTGAAACAGAGTCAACGCACTTGCCGAGTCCGACAGAAATTTGCCGTCAACGAGCAATAAAATTGCAACGGACGTTCCGTAATTTTAAATAAAACTGAAAGTAGTCAAGTTCTTTTCGTGTTTGAAGAATAAAAGAAACAAAAAAGACAAAGAAAAAAAAAAAGACGAAGAAGGAGAAAAAGAAAAGAACAGAAAAGAAATTATTCGCGGCCGAAGTGTCGGCTATAGCGGGTGTAGAGGGGGAAACGATATCTGAATCGCTCGACCATGAGACGATCCCTGAATAACAGTCGCACATGGCGCGGCTAGTGGGATGATTCATGGTCGTTGAATCGACGCGACCTCGAGGAGATGCAGAGTGAAAATAATTTATCCGCGTTGTGACCGACGCTCCTTTGTCCGTTGGGAGCGGCATGGCGGTCTAATTCGATCGATACCTTCCCTCTCTATCTTTCTCTCGCTCTCTCGTTCTGTCTCTCTGACATCATATCCGTACGCGTAGTATAGGACACGCGACGACGTCTATACATAAGCCACGCATACGTGCAAACGTTTGTATATACGTATGTAGAACATGAGTATGATTACAATATCAGAAGATGATCAAAAAAAAAACGAAGAGGGGAGAGAGAGAGAGAGAGAGAGAGAGAGAGAGAGAGAGAGAGAGAGAAAGTCAGATCCTCAGCGCAGAGGATTTCGCGGTGGCTGGCATTGCCGCGTACCGGTCGATTTACGCGCTCGTTTGCAGGTATGCCAAGCATGTAAGGTCTCTAACGCTGAAACGCCGGTCGTCCGGACAAAACGAGTGGGAGGAAGGGCAGCCGCAGGTTGACGAGAGGCGAGAGAGGTGGGAGGAACCCGTGTAAGAGGGTGGAAAGAGGAAGGAATTGGATGGGAGTGAGAAGGTAGAAAGAAGGAGAGAACTCCTCACTCTACTCTCTTTCTCTTTCTTTTTCTCTTTCTCTTTCTTTCTCTCTTTCTCTCTTTCTCTCTCTCTCTCTCTCTCTCTCTCTCTTTCTCTCTTTCTCTCTTTCTCTCGAGGGAGTGCATTGCTTGCGCACACCTACACAGAAAAGGCCAGCTACACACTGGACGGGGGAAGGCACATGGTTACGTAGCAGCTCGTTGCCTGACTGTCCCGACTCATGCCCTGCTGGCACGACACACTCTTTAAAACTCGACGTAGGAGATACGCCGAGTGTGTTTGAGAGAGAAGAGACTAACCGGCAACGAGGACGGTGGGAAGGAAAGCAAAGAAAGAGAAAGACAGTAAGTTGAAAAGAAAGGAGACGAGGAAAGAAGAGGAAAGAAAAAGAATGCATTTGGATTACTCGATAGAAAGAGAGAAACGAGTAGGTGGGTATGTTAAAAAAAGTTAGGGAGCGGGTGGGAGTCCCCGAGACTGACCGGACAAGACGATGAGGACGACGAACGAAAGAACCAACAGCAACTCTGCTTATATTATAGAACACACTATCGAGAAGATATAACCACCAGCGCCACGCTACGGTGGGAATTCGTTTCTCTGGGCTCGCGCTAGTTACATGGGTTCATAGTATGCCCGGTATTTACTAAATAAATCATTAAATACAAAGTATAATCGAATATAAATTAATAAAATATTTTTGTATAAAACATTATGTGGTAATTTGTATTGGCCATTAATCATCCTGCATTTGTTTATCACATATTTATCTTTATAATGAAATAATAATTAAAATTGAGATTACTTTACTACGAGTGGAATTAGCACTTTGAACCCAGCACGATGTCTTCGGGCAATATTGAATCCTGCAAAATCATCGGCTACTAACGTGCGATGAAGATGTGGTAAATATATGAATAAGAACGCATTTGAGCATTGGTTATCTGTATAGGTACGAATGTGAGCACGTAAGAACGTACTTATACATTGTATGCCTTTCTGCTTCTGAAAATCGCGTGCAAGTAGTCGGAGGAGACGGCGGCAGGTGGACGCGCGCACACACGCGGTGTGGACGAACGGAGAAGGGAAAATAATGTTCCGGGGGATATACATACATATATACATACGTACATACGTACATACGTATATCGCGCATGCGAAATTCCTTTTGCTTTCTCTCGACTGCCAAGCGAAGTGGCTTTGGGACAGCGTACGACGTTTGTCGTGCGTTACCGATGATTTTTCAGTTTTTCTTTTTTTTTTTTTTCTTTTCTTTTCTTTACTTTTCTTTTTTTTTTCTCATCATTCGATTAAATCCAAGAGATTAGAGTTCGCAAGGCTCGTTCAAACAAGCGCGCTTTCTTTCTTTTCAACCAATCATAGGAAATAGAAACGAAAGTACAAACGGATAAATTATGTTATACGATGAAGATATTGCTAGTATCAATTACGGTGATTAGTACAGAATTAAGGTGAAGTTAATGTAGAATAACTGTTGCGCTAATATAAATAATGTCGGTTAAAACCTGCGCGTAGGGTTAAAGGAAGAACAAGAAATGCAGGAAGAAAAAAATAAAGGGAAAGAGAAAGAGAGTGTAAGAGAGGAGGGCAGCTGGGTGGCGTAAGGTTCTCAGGTAGGTAGGTAGGCAGGGAACATTTAGACAGACGTGCTTTCGCGGCGTCGTGCACACCGAGATTCGTGGCCGTTCGCCGATCGTTGACACGGGGGCCCCGAGAGCACTCGACTGCATTATCGCGGCCGTGCGAACAGGTAACAACCTCGCGATCTCTCTCTCTCTCTTTCTCTTTTTCTTTCTCTTTCTCTTTCTCTCCCTTTTTCTCTCTTTCTCTTTCTTCTATCTCTGTCTTTCTAGCCCTCTTGCCCACCACCATACGTAGCATCCCTTTACTCTTCCTTCCCCACTCTTCTACTCGCCGGTGCGCGCGCGCTCTCGTGCGTTGAGCGCGAACGAGGGGCTATTTTCTTATGCCGGACCCGTCTCCACGCGCTCGGCAAACAAATACCCGACAAAACGGTCCCTCGCGGCACGAGCTCTTTCGTGCGCTCGCGCGCGCGACCAAGCGAGCGAGGTTATCCTTGCGCGGCAAGCTAATGTCGATATGTCGTTTACCGATTAAAGAAACAAAGGGAAAAAGAGAGAGAGAGAGAGAGAGAAAGAGAAAAAATGGAAGATAGAAAATAAAGAAATCTATACAGTTTTCCTTATTTCACATCGAATTTAATCGGCTCGATGATTTCTCATACTTTCGTGGGATACTTGCTCCATGCTCGGCTAACTCGACCGTTATTTATTTACCGTATTCACTCGTTGATCCATTTTCCTTCTCGAGTAAGCCTTACGGTTCAAATCAAATGACTGTCATGAATGACACAGTTATGCCAGTCCAAAGGAAAATGTTATTAATACTTTTAACGTTTTCCCTGAAGTAGATAACAGGTTAAGGATTCAAAGTAACGAATCCGTGTTATATATTTGCTTAGACAAGACAAATACATTTCAACGATCCCGATCAGCTTTTGGCACGCGGCAATGTTAAAACAGCATCACATTGATTCGAAAGTTTACCGCTTTCGCCCGAGCCCGAATGAAAGTATGGCTTGGTTCTAATGCATTTCAAAGAAAAATGGACGATCTCACGTGACGCGGTCTAGACGAGCGTGTTTCCACGAAAAGGCTTGATATCGTTACACGCAACAGCTCTTGGAAATCTTAACCTATTAACGTTTGATTGAATAGTTTGATAAAAAGAAAAATCTAAGAATCCCGTTGAACTAGCTAAGCGTATTATTTCAATAGCCAATTTCTTTGATAACAATATTGAAAGCATCGTACGTCATATGTAAGATAATGAAATCCAAGGAAGAATTCGATAATGTTAATTTTAAAAGGAGGTTAAACGGCAAGTTAAATGTATCGATCTAGAAACTTCCTTCCGTTCAAATTCCCCGGGCGTCGTCCTTTCACACGCCTCTACACCGGCCGAACGAATCGCTGTCGTCGGTGCAATGGTAGGTACCCTGAGTTGCGCCGGCAAAAGAGAACGAGAGAAATAATAGATTCTCCAATCGGTTTTGGGGCGGTGAGAGGTGGAGGAATAACGTGGCACGGGCCACGAGCTACGACGACGACGACAATGATGACGAGGACGACGACGACGACGACGACGACGACGACGACGACAACCAAGTGGAGGGCGTCGAAACCGGAAGTGGTCCATCGAGAATGGGAGTTGCCTTGACAACCGCGATCTGCTTTAACTCCCGCTCGATCGTCCCGTCGTCATCGGCCGTCTCTCTTTCGCGTCATTCGAAAGCAGTCTATTATTTGGGGTCGCTGCATCCTCCTCTGCGAGACTCGACAATTCGTACTTTTGCTTCCTCTCTCTCTCTCGCTCTTTCTCTCTCTCTCTCTCTCTCTCTCTCTCTCTCTCCCCTTCCCCTTTTCTGTATAAGTGCCGACGACGTGCGTGTGTTCGCTCTCTCGCGTGCACGCGCGCGCGCGCGCGCGCCACTACCGAACACACGAAATACAACTCTCACAGCTGTGCCGATCCCTCTACCGATTCTTTCCGATCTACCCCGAACCTCACCGAATCTTTCTGTCCGAACGCGTCTGCTCGTGCCACCGGGGACGGACGCGCGTCCATCGCTCGAGGACAGAACAGGATTGTTCGCGCGTCATCGGTTTAACCAACATCATTTCATACAAATAAACATCTAAAAGATGACGAATAGTCCATGGAATATAACAAAAAGGTCATTCCTCTGTTAATCTTCGTCCTATAAATATATAAACATATATGTATATATGTATGTATATATAAATATATATAGTTTAGAAAGTAATACAGTATCGAAACGATCACATTCTATTATTCCATCGAATAAGCCTGGCCGACATTCTCGACGTACTTTGCCAGGATCGCGAGGCTCGCACGATCGATACGCCTTTCCGCGAGGGAGTACGATTTGCTGGCGTTAAAGTGCCGACCGTACGCTGTTCGTTCGTTGCGCCAAGATTTCTCGAGATGCATCCCATCGCGCACGCGCCAGTATTGGATCAATGGCGCGAGGGACCCTCTTCATTCATTCGTCCATTCGAGATCCTTTAGCGTCGGTACAAGACGGTAGATTAAATGAATATTACAATGGAACGTATAACGTAATGATTATTATATCATTACGCTTAACGTACGTAATTATTCCAATTATCATTGATTCTTTTTCATTATTCCCTTATACTTCATATATTTACAGTACCTATCATATTTATTATAATATATACGTACATATTTATATACTTACATACAACATACATACATATATACAAGTGTACATATATATATATACATATGTGTATGTATATTTCTTCCCCTTATTATATTATGACTATATCATGATATAAACGTTGCCCGAAGAGATGTAAAAATTTTTTAGATAGATTAAGATAAAGGTGATAAATTCTTATTTATTGAAGGGCAACCCAAATGTATTCATCCGTCATTGGCCGTGCTCCGTACACGCTACGTATTGTGCGCGATGTGTGGGTCGCGTTGCGCGTTGTGTTGTAGGAATGCTGTCGGCAGCCAAGCAGCAGGGTCGCCCACTGTTACTCGCCGGGACTCGCTTTTGCCTGCCCCTCTGTCCTTCCTCTCTGCGCTCGGCGGCTCGCTTGTTCGCTTACTCGCTTACTCGCTCGTTCGTTCGTTCGTTCGTTCCTTCGTTCGTTCGTTCGTTCGTTCATTCGCTCGCTCGCTCGCTCGCTCGCTCCTTCGCTCGATTCCGTTTTAAAACTATATTGGCGTGCCCCCTTTGTACTTACTCTCCAAGTAGGCGCGAGGCGTATACATGAGTGCGTGCGCGAGTACATATAACTCGTGCGAGCGAGCGCAACGCATACGTACGTATATCGTATTACATATTTGCCGCCAACACGGGAGGAAGAGCAAGAGGACGGACGCATTGCGGTGTTGCTCGCTCCGTTACGCTGACTTTCTCGAGAGAGTGCGCGCGCGCGCGCGCACTCTTTCCTTAGAGTTTTAAGAAATTCGATCTCTTCACGCGGACTCTCTCTCTCTCTCTCTCTTTCTCTGTCCTTTGTTGTTTTATCATAGTTTCCCAGAGGGTGGGGGATGGGATGGGGGTGGGTGGGGGCAAGGGAAATATGACATTAAGTAATTTGCCTATCGAAATTACGTCCATGTTTACAAAAGTATCCAATGTTATTACCGATGTGACTAATTTCTCTATTCCATTAACATTTTCAAACGAAAGATTAAGCGGCGACAGAGGATGGAATTATCTCGGTTATCTTCCTTAGAGCAGAGCGTGCCTAGAAAAGAGAGATAGAAGGGTAGGAGAGGTAGTCCTTCGCTTTTGGATTAAGGCCCTTCTTCCTTTTCTTTTTCTATCTTTCTTCTTCTCTCTCTCTCTCTTTCTCTCTCTCTATCTCTCTCCCTCACTCTCTCTTCGTCGGTTCCTTCCACGAAACTCATCACCGTTCAACCGACTTTATCTCGCTTGTTTGCCTTTTCTTTCAACCGTTTTCTCTCTCCCACGCGTACGCCATCTTTCTTTCCTTCTTTCTTTCTTTCTTTCTTTCTTTCTTTCTTCCTTCCTTCCTTTTTGTTATTCTCTTTGGTAGGAGCTTTTGCCGAACGGCGATGTACCTTACGGGGTCGGCCCACGACGCAACCCAACAAGATGAAGCCCGCAACGGGCCCCGTCTGTCTGCCCCAAGAACTCACAGTTTTTGGTCTTGTTCCTCGTTTTCAGTGGCGTGGCCGT